CACCTTCAACCTTTTGAGTCTGTGTTTGGCCTCCTTTTGCATTTTACCAAACTTTAACAATAGCCATAACTTTTGAATTGTTAGCCCTAGGACTTTCCTATTTCACAAGTATGTATACTTTTCTTTTGGAAAGGAAAGACATTCCTTTGAATGCCAAAATAATAACCTTTCGGGTTTGCAATTTGACCTACTTTTGAAAAACGTTTAATAAAACTTGGTTATAAATTTTGAATGGTTGGTGCCAAGGATTATAATTTCATGTGTACACGTGTATTCCTCTCTTGGATACCAATAATATTTTCATCACCTTGGAATTTGTTCTCACTCGATCTGCTTTTAACTTTTAGTCATAACTTTTGAATGGTTAGTATTTTTGGGATTTCCTATTTCACACGCACTTTTATGCCCTCGAAATGAAAGATTACGGGACATATAGTTTTTGCTCTGTCCGTTTGTATGTCTGTCTGTTTTACCACAAACTTTTAACCCTGTCCATAACTTAAGTCTTTTGACGTTTGATCCACTTTTACAAAATTTTACCAAACTTTAACTAAGGCTATATCTTTTAAAAGTTGGAGCTATAGCTTTCGTATTTTACATAAATATTCCTTGTGACTTCACAAGACCATTTGAGTACCTACAATTTTGATTCTTTTACCCTAACGTAGGACTTTGACCCACTTTTTTAAAAATTGTAATCTTGGCCATACAGTGTAACTTTGAGTAGTTATAGCAAATGTTTTTTTCTCATTTCAGGGATTTGTCTCTGGCTTCAAGACATTCCCTTGGGTACCATTAATTTTGATTCTTTAACCTTGGCATTTCGACACAATATTGAAAATCTTTAACCTTGGTCATAACTTTTAAATACCGGAAATTGGAATTAGTGCTTTTTATTTACAGTTGCTTTTCTCAGATATGACCTTTTTGGTAACCACCAATTTTGACCCTTTGACCTCGGAGTTTGACCTACTTTTCAAAACTTTAACATTGACCATAACTATTATATATTGACCATGAACAATTGGCACTAAGGCTGTAATATTTTACAAGTTTAATTTCTCGTGACAAGGTCTTTCCTCTGGAACTAACAATTTAAATATTATTAGAATGACTTTTGAAAAAAAAATCTTTGATCTTGGCCATAACTTGGTTGTTCATAGGGCTTTTATATCTAAAATGTGTATTTCTTCTAACAAGACACTTTCTTGGGAACCATTGATTTGACCATTGACCCACTTTGAAAAACTTCTTAATTGGCCATAATCGTTAGTTTGTGCTTAAGGATCTTATATTTTACAGATGTATTTCTTGTGACAAGACCTTTCTATGGGTACCAACAATTTTTATCATTTGGAGTTTGACTTGTATTTAAGAAACTCTACAGTGTAACCTTTGTTATGAGCTGTCATACAAGGGCATCACTATTTCACAAACATCTCTTGTCTTTTTGACCTCGGACTTTGATGACCTTTTAAAAGCTTCAATTTTTGAATGATAGGTGTACATACTCCGGTATGTAGATCACAAAACATTTCTTGGGAGTACCAACATTTTAAACTCTTTGCCAGTTGGTCTTGAGATGCATTTGAAATGCATTTAACCTTCAACCTTGACAATGACCTGTAATATATTTTGCTAAAAACACTGATTCCCTATTGTATTTACACTACAATGGAATGTGTGCCGATTTTCGCCATTGTAAAGTGTAAAAGCATTTCAACTTGTCAGATTAGTGCAATCAGAAGATGTTTAAAAGTGACATCCCTTATTTTCCTGATTCTCTGCCTCAATATTAATGCATATCTCTCCACAGAAAACCTTCTAAACACTCGTGTTTTTCTGTCATGTTTAGTAAAAATTGTTCTAGTTCTCTGAAACCCCAGGGGTCATGATTTGAACAAATTAGAATCTACACTACCCCAGAATGCTTCCACATATATTCATAGCTTTTCTGGACCATTGGTTTCTTATAAGAAGATTTTCAAAGATTTTTCCTATATATTTCTATGTAAAACATAGAACTTTAATATAATTCTCATTAGAGGGGACTTGATTTGAAAAAGTCCACTCTCTATCAACAAAGTACAAACAAAGCAACATCATTGTAAAAAACAAAATGAAATTTATTTATTTTTCATCAAGAATCAATTAAAAATGAGCATTTTAGAGTGGTATTGAGTATTTGATCAAACATATAAATGTATTTTAATTTTTTTAACACATTTGAAAATGTCTATCTGTTTGGCTTTCACAGCAATACATTAGTAAAAACAAGAGGCCCATGACAAAACATCAGAAAAGCTCACCTGAGAAGCTTTGGCTCATGGTGATTCTAAAAACCAGAGGTACTGTTAGCAATGAGTTCACTATTGTGACCCCACCCAACCCACATGAATATAATGGAACAATGTTTTGCTACAAACCCAAAATGTGTGTTGGATCAAAGAGTAAAATAGGTGCACCATGGCATTATGTAATCAAGATTCTGTGAAAGTCTCATCATATTACTAGTACATTCAGTGGTATAAGAGGAGTCATGATGTGAAGAGATTCCCCCAAAGAATTTACATGTACAGTACCCCAGGATGCTTTCACTTAAGTTTCAGCTTTTCTGGCCCAGTGGTTCTCGAGAAGATTTTTCAATATTTTTCATATACATTTCAAAGTAAAATTTAAATATTCATATTGAATTCATGGGGTGTTGTTTTTATAAGTTAATGAAATAATAAACCAAAGTGCAAGACTGAGCAAAGAATTTTATAAAAAAAATTTCTCATTAGGGGAGAACTTGATTTGAAAAAGTCCACTCTCTATCAACAAAGTAAAAACAAAGCAACATCACTGTAAAAAACAAAATGAAATTTATTACTTTTTATCATGAATCAATTTATGAGCATTTTATAGTGGTACTGGGTATTTGATCAAACATTTAAATGTATTTAATTTTTTTAACACATTTAAAAATGTCTATCTGTTTGGCTTTCACATCAATACATTGGTAAAAAGAAAGTCTGCATTGAAGAGTTCCTAAAACAGAAGTCTAGCTAAAATAATCTAGTACAGGAATTTTAAAGTACCAGTGTATTGTGTAAAATATCACATGACACCAATACCCACACAAAGGCATTCACCCATCCTCACCACATTTAAATATATTAATATTAAAGTCACTGAGAAAAAAATATAAGAAATATAAATTGAGAATACAATGTATATGTGTATAACAATTAAAATATAAACACACATCATATAAATGATTTATAAAAATTCAAAGTACACAACACAATTTTTTTTACCAATATACTACGACTGATGATTGCTTCCTTTGCTTTATTTAAGAGATGTACTTGTTCTACTATTGCACATTCAAGAGGCTCATGGGCCATAACAGTCACCTGAGAGTCACTGCCAGTCAAAGTGCAATATGATTTAGACAAATTCAATTTATATACTACATGAAAACACTTTCACAATAATTTGACAAAAAAAAAAAACAACAACATTGTATTAGATTTTATCTAAAATATCTCTAAAATTATACGATTTAACTATGCTTCACGATCGCATTTATTTACATTTTGAAAAATAAAAATTTGAGTACAGTGAACACACATTTAATCCCATTGCTATTTCACTTATCAATTCATCAAATTTTGAAATGTCTCCATTACATTTTAAAGTACATGCATAATTCAACTGCTGAAAAAAAGGAAACAATAATTAAACTGAGTATGTCATTATACAGATTTGCATATAACTGTTTGAAAATAATATTATCAAGATGGATTTTTAAGTGATATTTCAATAAACGATTTCATAAATTTTCTGTATAAACTGATAATTTTTAAATTTCAAAATGCCATTTCAATATAATAAGCCATTATATTAGATTTTATCTAAAAAAAAAAACCATAAAATTTAATTAACTGTATATTTTTTGAAAAAAGGATTTTATTTCAATAGATCAAATTTTGATAATCATATTTTTACATTGGTTTGTAAAACAAAAAACTGAGTATGTCATTATATTATAGATTTGCATGAGTTACAGTATACAGTGTACTGTTTAGTAAAGAAGGATTTTTGAATACAATGTGCAATGCATCAATATATGAAGAACTAAGCCCTAGCCTGGGGTCTCAACCCTAAACCCAGAGGCCACAAGTTTGATAAAGATCTAACTGCTCATTATATTCATACCAAAATTTGACTTCATGATGTCTAGGACCATAGAGGATTTTGAAGATCTGTTTAATTTTGATTGATTTAGTTCCACCCTAGAGATCCCAGATAAAAACTGATAGCAGTAGGTCTTCTGAAAGACTTTGGTGAGCTAATTACGAAGAAGCTGCCAATGTATTGAATTAGCCTATATATTGACCATTTAAGAATCATTTTAATCAACTAATGAGCCTAATAAAAACTGGTTCACAAAAACTGTTTCATATTGAAATCTATCATATTAAAAGCACTTAAAGCTTCATTGGGTTACATGTACAGAGTATATCAATATCTTTCAAGTCAAACAACTTAAAATATTATAATATGAGCAAGAGGTCACAAGTGCATGAGGTATAAATGACTTTATATAACAGACTTTAACATCTTAATCTATCAAATCAGAACAAGAAAAGGGAAAACATCATAATTTAGGGAAAACAACTCAGTCTCAGGGAAACATCAAAATCTTAGGAAAAACATTATAATCTTAGGGAAAACATCATACTGTATCAATCTCAGAGAGAACAAAGAAAATATCTCAATCTTGGCACATAGATGCCTTTGAATTACACATGTAAATTGAAACGAAAATAGATGATTTCTTAGAGAAAACATCTTAATCTCAGGGAAAACATCATAATCATAGGGAAAACATCATAATCTTAGGGAAAACAATTTCAATCTCAGAGAGAACATTGTAGCAGCTGATGTTATACATGTAAATTGACACTAAAAGGTATCAAAACTAAGACTTCCTTCTCATTGTAGAAGATGAATGATGTTAAACCCTTGTGGAGACATTTTGCTGTCTGACTGATGGTAAGACATTATGGAGACCAACTTCACTGCTGAATGCTATGAGGACATTTCACTGTCTGAGCTAAGGTCTAACATGATATCAATGTCCAATGGAATCCCTGCATTGGAGACTTTTCGTAGCTGTGCTAACTGCACTGCGCTCACCCACCTCTCGCGGATTGCTACATACCTTAGAAGGTTCGCGATGAGGGCTGTCCAGCCAGTCTGATGACTAAAAATAAGAAAATGAAGGTTTAATTGATTCATATTTACAGTAAAGGTGCTCATAAAAATTGTCAGGGACATTTAAAAAACATGATTTGTTTACAGTTACTTTCAGTATGTCTGAAATACCTTTTAAAAGAACAGAAAATGAAAATCAATTTGCTGTTAAACTTTTCATAAGTGTGTTTTCTGTATCCCTGTTTTACTGTAATATATACAGGGAACTAATTTAAATTCACATATTTTCAAGGGGTTAAATTCTTGAGGTTTGAGAAAAATTTTTTTTTTCTTTGGACTTGATTTTGTGGTTGGAAAATGTTTACTAGCATTTATATGTAATGCATATGACATTTTAAATTTCATGGTGGTTGTAAATTCTTCTCTGCATGCAAGCCTCATAAATAACAAAAATAAAACCCATGAAAATTAGTGATTTCACAATAAATTTTGTATGTGAATTACCTTGCACCACATCCCCTTCCTGTATCCCCATGGAAATATTCATAATACAAAATCAAATCTTTGAAATGGGGATCCTTAGCATATCTCTCCTCATCACCTGAAATATGGACAATGGTCTATAACTAGTAGAAGAATTAAATAGCAGTGTTTTCTATTTTCAGATCCGTATCAAAGCTCACTGACAATACATGCAAGAATAGGGTCAAAGCATACTTTAGAAAAAGGCAAATCAGAGAATGAATACAAACCATGGCAGGGTCGAACTCCCCTGGGATCAGGATAAAACAGTTTTGAGAGCCTAACAGAGAGTTCGTGAGCTACATCTGTTAAACGCATAAACTTCCCGGATCCTGTGGGACATTCCACCTTAAAGGATTCTCCAAAGAAGTAATCATATCTTCTTAGATTCTCAATCAGAAGATAGTTCACTGAAAGAAAATAAATATGTACCTTCACGCAGTTGATAATGTTATGATATAAGATTGACATTTAAAAATTCAAGGTAACTTCTAAAATCTGAGAATATTTTAAATTCAGCAAACAACTATGAGAAAAAACACCAACAATGAATCCAGATCTATTCAACTTCAGGTTATAAATGAGAGCTACTTTCACAGATCTTGATTTCAATAGAATTGAATCTACTGTGTAAAGTTATTCATTAATGTCTCAATATTTTACTTATTAACTAAATCTCTTAATTATCTCCCTTTGAAAAAGAACATGTCCCCTTTTGAACAAATTTGAATCCTCTTCACCCAAGGATAAATTATGGCAACTCAGGTACTAGAGGAGTTGAAATCTGAAAAGTTTACACACAGACTACAGACAGTTTCGCAAATATGATCTTGAAAGCTCACTTAAGGGGGCCGACTATAGTTTCCATTGCGCAATATTTCGCGCATCATAGTAAAATGAAACATATTTACTGTTTTAATGCAACATTTTTCGCTTAATTATTAAAATTAAACAAAATTAAGAAATTAAAAAAAAGAAATTGGAACTTGAAAAATGGGGGAAAAATTCCAAATGACAAAAGGTTGAATTTTTTAGTTCTTTTTAGCTCACATGAAAAGGAGGAGTTTCAATTAAGGGGACCGACTATAGTTTTATTTTGTAAAAACTACAATAGCAAAACTCTTCATTTTTATACCATATAAACTTACATTAACTTCAGTGTACATGTAAAGTTTGGGGGAAATCTACCATCCAGGTTTTTTTGAGGGACCGTCTCAAAATACAGGTACATTTACTATAGGATTATATAGGAAAATGCCAATTTTTAGCACTTTAAAGCAAATTATACAAATACTACAATAGACATTTTGTTCAAACTATAATATTTAATGTGTAATACTATATTATACAATATATGTAAGAAACACAAAATTCTACCGTCTTGTTACCAGAGGCGGCATCTCAAAATGCAAAAAATTAGCAAATTTTACTATTTTGAGACAAAAGGGAGTTACTTTACTTTTTCCAAATTTTAATTTTCACCAGACCTGCATGCATCAAATATTTAGCCCTTGATCTTGATCCTTTATTTAAAACCTTGTAAAGAGGTCACTGCTTACACCTTGTCTGTTGGCATTCTATGAGTGAAGTACACTGTACAAGTATGATAGAGCAATATGCTCAAAAAGACCAAAAGGCTGGACAAAAAGACTGATCCCAGTCACTTATCAGTCTAAATTCAAGTTACCTTGTCTAGTGAGTAAGTTTTATAAGTGATTTATTCTAACCTCAGTTAGATATACTGGAAGTGAGAAAAACATTGGCATGTGTATTTGTTAACCTGGAGTTAGATGCAAACGTTTTGCTTGGAAACAAATTAAAATTAATGAGAAGGAAGTCGAACTTGATCACCAATTCGTATTAAAAGAGAAAGTCTCATTTGATAACCAATAAGAATGAAGGACAATTCTTACTAGGTAACCAGATAGGTCCTCTCCAGTTACTGTTTCCCCCAAACATGTTGCTCTCAGACTCGCCTGGTTCATACTTTACACTGTACGAATGTCCCCCACACTCCAGAATAAATGGCTCTTTTTTATGATGCTGCAATGGAATATTAAAATTGAAGCATGAAATACACAAAACAGCCTTAAGAATAAAATGATCCTAAATGTTTGGAGGTACCTTTGATAGGGACCTGATACCATAAGGAGATAGGAATTTGTTCTCGTCCAGTACGTGAGCTAACACTCGCTTGAGCTGCTCTTTCTTCACTAATGACAAAAGTAAGGTCTCTTCATTCTCGTCAGGGTTCTCACACATAAAGGATATCTACAACAATAAGGGATATCTACAACAATATCTCCAGGATATCTAAAACAATATCTCCAGGATATCTACAACAATATCTCCAGGATATCTACAACAATCAGGGATATCTACAACAATCAGGGATATCTGCAACAATAAATATCTCCAACAATGAGGGATATCTATAACAATCAGGGATATCTGCAACAATAAATGTCTCCAACAATGAGGGATATCTATAACAATAAGGGAACAACTCAGGGAACAATCTGTTTCATTGCCAAATTATAATCTACATTATCTATGATATTGTTAATTTATCTCTCTTCAGATGACTTTTGTTTACCTCTAATAAATGTTTAACATCAAAGCTTTCTCAGTTATATATCAATTTATCATTATACTCTCCTATTGGATTAACTCTAAACTACAACTTTCATTAATATGTTCATATTAAAAATCTTTTGCAGATCGAGCTTAAGCAAATGCAAATATTAAAGAGAACTACTAAATGAAAATGACTACCGGTATTCCTTGTTTAGTAATACATCTTACAGTAATATCATAATATTACAGCAAATATCTTAATATTCCTCCTTACATGTTGAGCCAAATCTTTACGATTTTGCAGAAACCACTTGGTTCTCTTGTGAAATCCTGGATGTCTATTGAGAACTTCGTACTTCAGCACCATACACGAAAAGAGAGGCACTAGTCCTACCATGGATAGAATCTTCAGAGGCATCGTTTTCTTGCCATTAACTCGGATGTGGTCATAGTAAAACCCGTCCTCCTCATTCCATAAACCTTGAGAACAAAATATGAACAGTTCTGGTTGAACAAAGTCACAGGATGATAAGACTGACACTTCTTATTACCATCCTTAAATAGTTTCTAGAAATATTCTAATTCTTCAATGGTAAAAAGATGCATAAAGTCTATATATGATATATTTTCTGGAGAATTTAAGGCCCCGCAAATTTTCACCTATTTCATCCTGATGATTGATAGCATCAGCGATGGCTACAAAATGTTCAAAGAACTTGCTGGCCATGTCTTCGTAGATACAGTCCCTCCGGGCAAGTGTGAGGGAGATCTCCAGCATGATGGAACAGAAGAACGCCATCCACGCCGTGGCATCCGCCTGGACCAGGTAGCCTCCTACAACCAATTCAAAAGTTCTTATACAAAATGAAGGGCATGCAAAGGTGAAAGTCAAAGTGAAAGTAAAATACTTTGTGAAAATTTTTTTTTTTTAATCAGGTTTGCTTGATTTGAAAAAAAAATTCTTTTTTCAAAGAAAATAAGAGCATCCTGTACTTAATATATCAAATCAACAAACTGAGGTCAAACAACTGTACAAGTCTAAACTGTGAAGTGTTCGAAGGAGAGATAACAATACCTGTTGGCAGTGGTTTAGAACGGTCAAAAATTCCAATGTTATCTAGGCCAAGAAATCCTCCAGTAAAAATGTTCCGCCCCTCCAAATCCTTTCTATTAATCCACCTTAAATTTAAAAATTAGTAGGAATAATGTGCTTAAACACACTGACGATTAATATCATACAGTGAAAACTGTCTAATCCAACACCTGAATAATCAGACACACTGTGAATTCCGACATTAAATTTCTTTCCAATATTAGTGTTTTACTTGTTTTTAACACTGTGCAATCCGACACCCTGTCTATTCCGACACAAAATTTTTTTCCCAGTGCATGTCGGATTAGACACCCAAACGGAAAAGATTTTTAACAAACTACTATCAAACCATCAACAAACTACCAACAAACTATATTTTCGTGGTTTGTTAAAGTAGTTTGATAGTATAGCATTTAATGAAACACAAACAAACCACTGTTTCTAAAAATAAGTAAAGTGGTTTGTTAGTCTTTCATTTCTGCTGATTGTGATTTCTTTATAGTTTGTTAGACTTGGTATCTTGCAAGAGTGTTTTATTAGTAGAGCATTTGCTTCTAACCACATGGGAAATTACTTAACAGACATGTTTAGGGTTGAATTATCTAGAATTGTTGAAGTTTCCAAGAACAGTTTAATCTTTACATCCAGTGTTAGCTATTTGCGCCAATTTTCAAACCACCAAGCAGGTCAGAAACAAAGGAACTGGTGAAGGGACATTCAAATTGTTAGTATCATTCTATAAGATCCCTGACTGGAAAAAGCAGCAATTGACATTATTAAAAGATGGATCTGGATACAGAAGAGGTATATTTAATGCATGTCATGTCTTTTTACCTAAAATATAAGGCTGGACTACAGTAATTAACCTTCTGTGAATGTGGATGTGTAAGATTTTTACTCATGAGCTTTGGGTTTTTATTTATTTTCAGATTGCCTTATAATTCCTTTACTAGTTTAGATCAGTTATGCATTGGATTATGGGAAGTATACTTGAAAATAAGACAAAAAAAGATGTCTTTCAAAGTTGCAATAAGGCCAGAAAAAAAGAAATATTGCAGCATTTTCCATGCCAGATGAAGCAGGGAATATTTAAATGTCAGCTTGAAGAACATTTTTTGGTGAAAAATACTATGAAGATGTGCACAACATGAAGAATATGTGATAAGTACATGGACATTGACTTGGAATTGCATCTCCTAAACAAAAGGGAACATGTTGGAATGTTGCTTTTGCATTGGCTAAACTTGTCAATCCTGGAATTTAAATTACTCTGAAACAAGATTTGTTGAATATTTCAAAATGTGACTGTTTTAGGTGTTTTCAAAGACTTGTGGATTTGTAAAGGAAAATTCAAATCCAGCGTTTTGCTGATGGATTTAATGTTACTAGTGATTTGTTAGTAGTTTGTTAGAGTGGTTTGATAGTAGTTTGTTAGCGTGGTTTGATAGTAGTTTGTTAGAATGGTTTGATAGTAGTTTGTTAGAGTGGTTTGATAGTAGTTTGTTAGAGTGGTTTGATAGTAGTTTGTTAACAGTGGTTTGATAGTAGTTTGTTAGAGTATAGTTTGTTAGTTCATTTGCATGTGATTTGCTATACTATTAAACTACTTTCAAACCATAGTGGTTTGTTGGTAATTTGTTATAGTAGTTTGTTTGCCCTTTTTTTCCGTATGGGCAGGTTTCACTGTATATGCTTTACTGAAGAGAAACTTTACCATGTAAAATTCATGATGAGTTTGTGGAAGCATCTTGCCAGAAAGCCAAGGTCTCGCTTGTTCTTTGGACCTGAGGCTTTGTATACTCTTAAAACTGCATAGGCATGAACTGGTGGATTTACATCTTGAAAACTAAATTCATATGCTGGTATCTGAAAATTAATATCGAAAGGTGTTTTAGGTCTTCACACCCTTAATTTGTTATACATGTATCTAAATATTTATTTTTTTCTTGTAGAATTTATATACCAGAAGAACCTTGTAATAAGAATTTTATTTCACCTGCCCATTTGGATGCATGTACCATTCCCTGAGAAAAAGTTGTAGCTGATCCTTAGCAAACTGGACATCAATGTCTGCCATTGGAATCATATGGAAGGCCAAGTCCCAGGAAGCATACTGAAGGCAACAAACACTTCAATTTTTCTGTTAAGCTTTCCAACAAGCATACTTTAAAATTTCTCTTACCAGGTATTTTCAACTACCGACAGATCTGGATATTCTCATTCTATTGACAAGTTTTAACCTTGTTACAAAACCTGTAGAAATCTGAGGAGTTGAAAGGACTTTTAAAATATCTATTATACATGTAATATTATCATAATAACATACTGTACAGATTTACCCATGGATATTCCCATTTGTCTGGAACTGAGATGACATCCATATTAAAGAGGTGCATCCATTCAAAGTTACGTCCCTTGAGTCTGGAGGCAGGGGGTTTGGGTTGGTTCTTATCTCCCTTTAGCCATTCCTCAATGACATAGTAATAGAACTGTTTACTCCATAGCAGCCCAGCATAGGCCTGACGTGATACCTGTCGCTGTTGTTTGTCCTTCATTGGAATTTTCTGACATCCAATAAAAAATTCAAATTTTCAGTTTCAAAAGTGGACTGAATTTCTAAACATTTCACTCTTTCATTAATCTTTATTTTCTTGTGGTGCATTAGGAGGCATAGAGAACCTGTGAATATTTATATTTCTGATGAATTATTTGAATTCAGTTCTTTTCCAAATTTTTTACCTGAAAAATATAAAATTATAAATGTACATGTGTTACAAACCTCTTCATAAAAGATGTCTGCCTCCCTCTGTCTGTCCTGGAAGGTGTCATCAAAATCTGGTCCAAAGATTCCATGCTTGGGAGCCTCCAGTTCATAGTACAGCCTCACTTTGATGGTGAACTCTTCCCCAGGGTCAAGGGTCAGGACATAGTGAGCAGCACATTTTGTTCCGCAATGTGAAGGGTTTACAGCTGATTTCTGTCCTTTCAAATAATTTTAAAATTAAACTTCATGACTTTTGGAGAGATGTACTATTATTTGCAGAAAGCCACATAAAGCAGCTTTTCTTTAAATACTGTAAGTCGTTTTAATTTAATTTAAATTTTGCATAAGCATTGAAACATTTTTAAAACTAATGATAGCATTCATGATGGGTTTAATTTCATATAAAAATGATGAATTGCCAACATAGTGAAATAAAAACCATTGTCATAATTTGCCAATCTACAGTTTCATAAACTGATAAGATCCCTTATCATTAGTCATTAAGCTTTGCCCTTGGAAGACGATACCTTTGATGACATAGTCATGGAATGCATCCTTAGCATATCCTTTGCCTTCCATATTAAACAAACGTTTGAAATTTGTGTCATTTTCTGTGAACAAGAGTTCAGGTTCTTTGTTGTTCTGATCCACATCTACCTCCCAGAAAAATGGCCCTGATTAAAAAAAAACAACAAAAGTAAAACCATCATGCAATTCTGTGATATATTAGTCAAAAAGCCTTTGAAGCAAAGTTTGTTCTTTTTAAAATAGAATTTGTAATTTCTGCCTGCATCAAAAGACGTCAATATGTTACTCACCACAGTAAGCTGCTGGGGGTGAGGCCTGGTCCACTGTAGGGTCTATGTGATGACCTTGATCCTCCCCTGAAAAAGGGGGAGATATGTAAAAGAGAAACAGGATGATCTTATAAGTGATTTACAAATCAATATACTATAAATCACTTTTTATTCGCGAGAACTTTATTTTCGCGTAATTACGCGAGACAGTGTACTCTGGAAAATTTAATTCTCACGTATAATAGTATTCCTTAAGAATATATAGAGCAATAACCACAATTCGTGAAAATTTTGTCTCGCTAATCAAGAGTCAATGACTATCTGGCGAAAATAAGGTGTAGCGAAAATTTAGTGATCTATATTACTACACTAACACATTCAAGGACAAACCTAGTGTTGGATGGTCACATTTCACCTTGGTGTTGGACACTTGACTCAGATGGGGCTTTGGAGTCACACAACACTGAAGTACAAAGAAAAAAAACCTTTTATGCTTTTAAATGTATGTTATCAGAAAATTTAACAGAGGCCCAAGATTCTAAAAGGAAATATTAATAATTATGCAAAAATTTCAAAGAACATATAGGTTCCAAGGTAAATCAACTGCCAGTCCTAGATATCCAAGTGTTTTTCAACTGTATCATACCCTAATCCATTGGGCATAGTAAAGAAATTCCTATTCTACAACTTTACAATTTGAAACATCCTATACTTTCTTTATTTTTTGAAGACTTTTTTCAATGCAGTTTTCTCAATTAATAGGTGCAGTAGGAAAGTTAAGCATTTTGAATACGGAACACTACCCATTATGAAAAATCACATGCACAAGGTAGAGTATGTCTTGACTGAGAGAAACTTTTATATACATGTATTTATTTGTGTTAGGATTTAAAATTCTATGTGAACATTTACTTACATACGCTTCTTTGCCCCATGACCAGACATTTCTGAACCACAGTGTGGGGAGCACATGAACCGTGGCTCGTTCCGTGCCTCTGTTGGAGATCGTATACTTCGCTAGGACGTCATTAGGACTGTGTTTACAATACTCAGCCATCACATCAAAATAACCCTGATCAAACACACCTGGGAAGTAGAATAAGTTTGCAAAATGTACGAGGGGTGATCAAAAAGTTCGCGAACTAATTGAATAACTTCCATAAAAGAAACAATATTTGGTTTCAATGTTGATTATATTTTAAATTAATCCTCCCCGATTTTAATGCATATCAACCATCGTTCTGCGCATGCGTGAATCACGTGATATTGGCAGTCATGTGACCCTCTCCCTAGCGTTTTTTCACAAAAGTTGAAAAAAAATTTCTGAGTTTTATATTTCTTTCCATATGAGTTAATTTTTATGACAAGAACAGTTCTTTTGTCAGAAATGGTCATATCTTAGCAACAGAATGGGTTTGATAAGAATATCCTTTACAAAAATAAGCATGGCGACCATTAAAACACCATTAAACACGTCTCGGGAGAAACCTTTATTCAAGGTGGATAGAGAGTGGGTGCCTCCTTTTTATCATATCTAATGTGTTTAAAATCTAAAGTAAACAATATCTTAGGAATTTAATAATTATATTATTGTTCAAATATTCAACTATTTTTCAAAGTGTTAATTGGAGGTCTTTGATGGCAAATTGCTTAATTAAAAATATATATCTTTTCAAACTTGCTTTCACTGGGCAAGATGACAAGTATCATTTTTAACCATCTGCCTTCCTTCACTAAAACGATCAATCTAATCATTAATTGAATTCATAGGAACCTCATTTATCTCAATAAACTGTGTACAAATTATTATATGATATTGCAGAGGGATTTCTAAGATATACAATAATTTGTACAGTCGTTTGTTGAACGAGTTCGACTGAGACAACCATTTTTCGTCACAAGTGACCTACATAGTGACGTCATTTTCACATTGTGACGTCACAAACAAGGAGAAGAACTTTATTCAGCATATGCTATTTATAGACCATGTGTATGTCTATGTGTGTACCGAATTTCATTCTAATCTGAATTGTGGTTTTGTAGATATAGAGATAGTTCACGAACTTTTTGATCACCCCTCGTATTATGCTATTCATGTTCTCCACAAAAAATATCATGGTGACTTTACTTTTGTATGATAGATGTAAAAAACAAGCAGCTCTAATTCATATTAATTTTTTATAATGCTCATCACTGGAAATCCACTGTAAGTCTTGCTTCTCTTACCATGAGAAGCAAGACAGTCCAGGGGTGGTTGGCAGGGGTAGGGGTTGGTAATACTGCTTTTTTCCCGAGTGCACTATTTAAACACTAAATGGTCATTAAATTCATTTATTGCATTGTGGTATGTTATAATAAGCAAGGTTTTTCTCCCCAATTTAGCAAATTTTGAAGAAATTTTTTATCCAGGGTTAATATGTGAAACAGTAAGGTGTCTGAAAACAGACAAACATAAATTTATTTTAACCTTTGACCTGGGATATAATTAACCGACTCACCTGTGTCCAGAATTTCATACTCTGGCATCAGGAATCCCCGTACTTTGTTTTCATGTTCCAGTTTGCTGTAGGGGTATTCCTCCTGGGGATATTTATAGAGGGCCTTCATGTAGGAGTGGGTGGGGGTGCTGTCCAAATAGTAGTACAATTCCTTGACATCCTCCCCATGGTTCCCCTGGTAACAAACCATACAAAAGTGCTTATATATATATATATATATATATCTGTACATAAGATATCTGTACTATGCAATTTGATCTAGCCACACTGTTAGATGAGGAATGTTTGATAATCTCTCTCCTTCAATTAATGCTTAGTATACCTGGTGTCCCGTGAGTCCAAACAACCTCTCCTTTAGGATGGGGTCCTTGGTGTTCCAGAGGGCCAGGCCCATACAAAGTCGCCCCTGTCTATCACAGATCCCCAGAAGGCCGTCCTCACCCCATCGATAAGCCCGGGACCGCGCATGGTCATGTGGGAAGTAATTCCAGCTGAGGAAATAAAATTCATTTCAGAACATGAATTTAAGATATATTTCATTAATTATCCATGAGTTGGACTGCATGAACATCAGGCATACATGCCTACAGTCATTCCCTTCTAATAATGTCTTCTTATAACAGTTACTTACTTTGAGTTAGGTTGTATCTATTAATGTATTCTCTCTCTCTCTCTTGCTTGTTAATATACAGAGTTATTCCCCTTTTATTGTGTTAGAAGCATCAGAACTCCTGACCACAAAGCTATTAATAGAGATCACATGTATTTGACCTCAACAGCTGTTGAGGGGATGAATGCAAAAAAAAAAAAAAAAAAAAAAAAGATTGCTGCCAAAGATAAGAGTATACACTGTCCTTCTCAACCTTCTGAATCAATAACATCAACAACAGCTAAAAAAGATTAGTATATCACTCAAACCAGATCTATAAATATAAACCTGTGCAAAATTGTTCTGGAGAAAAATATTTACTTCTGTGTCTTAAAAGAAATTATAAATTTATGAAACATTTCTTGGACGGGAATACTAAATTAATATTTTTTTTTTTTTTAAATATTGTTATATGAAATACTATCACTCTAAAATTCAATTTGATTTCTTTTTTTTTTTTTCTTATCAGATTCTAAAAGTTTTCATATATCAAAGATATATATGAAAAATCATCTGCTAGAACTTTTAGTCATACAAGTATCATTAACAACACTATTCAAACTGTAACAAGTGAAAATATTGCATATAATTTGGCTGAAAATGGGGTGTCTTTATAATAGAACATTGTCATGCAAACCCAGATTTTTTTTTAGATGATTGACAGAGGTACTAAAATCAGGTAAATTTGAAAGAGGTGCTTATATCCTCCCCCTTTAAGGAATTGCTAAAAAATGTCATACTTATGTATATCATATATAATTCAAGATTATTATTTCTAAAAGATTTGCCACTTTTTTCTCAATTCAACCATCCTTGTTTTAAAATGTGATTCACTACTTTATTTTCCTGGACAGGTTTTATAAAATGTTCAGATCACTGATGTACACGATACAGAGTGTAAGTATCTATAGTGAGATCAATGTAGAACGAGGAAGGACGTCCCATCAAAGCTTGAGCTTAAGACAATCATCTACTTCCTATGACTTATCAATGCATAGCATTTCCTGGAGTCTGCATGTACTCTCTCTCCCTCTCTCTCTTTCTCTCTCTCAGAACAATATAACTGTTATTAATGCCATTTATCCTCCTTAAATCTCATGACAAGTGATGCCACGTGTTGAAGGCCTGTACCAAATAGATACCTCAAATCCTACTGAACATTCACTCCACACCTCAGATGAAGAGAATAGCTTTGATGCTGTAATATTGTTGACATTTAGAACTGATGTTTCACTGACTAGTAAAGTACATGTACTGATAAAATAAGAGATGTGTCTTCATTAGTTATGTAACTCCATACATTATAACAACATAAAATCTGAATCATGGACCATACTTTGTAAACAAGATGGTCCCTTCCGTAAGATGTGTCAAAAACTTGCTATACACAATGTATGATGTGGAAAAATAAGATGGTTTTATAATGCAAGTACCAACTGTCCTTGTTATTTATTTGATTAGTCTTAAAGATTTATACATATTGTCTTAGAAATTACTTTTTATGTGCGCCGGTCAATCGGAAATGCTCTGCTCCAGTCATTTTCTTTTCAAGCAACTGTAGATGTGAACATTGATAATTAAAAGTAAATTTCTCATTCTCAGTGTAAATGCATATTTTTATACCCCCCGCAAACGAAGTTTGGGGGGGTATATAGGAATCACCTTGTCCGTCTGTCTGTCTGTCCGTCTGTCCGTCTGTCTAGCTGTCCGTCTGTCTGTGCAATCGTGTCCGGTCCATATCTTTCTTACAGAGGGACATTAGAATCTACTACTCCACACTAAGATTGCTCATAACCTAAGAGTGTGTCATGACCTTGACCCAAGGTCATTTGGGGAAGTTCAAGGTCACTGGAAGAAAAATTTCATAATTCATGTTTGACACATATCTTTTATGGATAAACTTGGTAGGTTCTCATTTCACACAAAGATTGCCCATGACCCAAGGGTGTGTCATGACCTTGACCCAAGGTCATTTGGGGAAGTTCAAGGTCACTGGAAGAAAAATTTCATAATTCGTGTCCGGTCTATATCTTTCTTATGGATAAACTTGGTAGGTTTTCATTTCACATAAAGATTGCCCATGACCCAAGGGTGTGTCATGACCTTGACCCAAGGTCATTTGGAGAAGTTCAAGGTCACTGGTAGAAAAATTTAATAATTCGTGTCCGGTCCATATCTTTCTTAAGGATAAACTTGGTAGGTTTTCATTTCACACAAAGATTGCCCATGACCCAAGGGTGTGTCATGACCTTGACCCAAGGTCATGTGGGGAAGTTCAAGGTCACTGGAAGAAAAATTTCATAATTCGTGTCCGGTCCATATCTTTCTTATTGATAAACTTGGTAGGTTCTTATTTCACTCAAAGATTGCCTATGACCCAAGGGTGTGTCATGACCTTGACCCAAGGTCATTTGGGGAAGTTCAATGTCACTGGAAGAAAAATTTTATAATTCGTGTTTGATACATATCTTTATTATGCAAAAACTTACTTCTGAAAAACCCAGCGGGGGGTATTTTGTCCTGATTGGACAGTTCTAGTTTTGTTTTCTACCTCCTAGTCAAAAGCAAACTCTTATTATATCTTAAGAAATTATTATAAGATTTCCTGTGTACAATCTTATTTAAAAAGGTGTATGTAAAAGGGAAGGGTGACTCTAAAAAATGTGTGACTAAAAATAAGGTATTGAATTCTAAAAATAAAATATTTAAAATACATTGCTTACTAGGGTCATTTTACTTATTTGAAAGGTTTAAAAGTCCCTTGGATTTTACAATGTAGGTGAATCTGTCACGGAAAGGTCAATAATCCTATTGCAAAATTATGAGTACCACAGGAAATTTTCAGATCGTCACCTACGTATTGGAGAAGAAACTTTCATTTGTCTTGCATACCCCTTCCTTCCCCTTTCCCAGAGAAAAAAACACCATGCATCAATCCAACAAGATATGATATTCTCATGAGCTGGAGTAAATGAAAAAAAACCTCCATAATTATTATACTTAACTTTGTTAGGAAAATGTTCTAGAATTGTATGAATGATGTTGAGTAAATGAAATGATTGTATACACATAATAAATAATTTACATTAATAATTATACATGTATAAATTTAAGTATATAAAAAAGAACATTTGCAGGATAGTGACCTTTAATATGTCAGTCTAGAGAAATATTACAGTGATATAGATGTAGGTCAGAATTTTGTATTTTGGCAACAATAAACGTCTTGGTATATTAACCTCTAGGCCTACCAAGAGAAGCAAATAAACACGCACTGTATAGTTTTGCAAAACGCACTAAAAAGTGTTACTTTATGAGTTATTTTCCCGCAAAAATTATATTTATCAAACATGATTTATTCCAAGTTTGATTTGTCGGGTAAGAGTTTAATTAACCTATCTAACATGTAAATCGCTAGTCTTACCAATTTCCATCTTCAGAATAATCCTCTCTCACAGTCCCCCACTGACGCTCCGAGAGGTAGGGCCCCCATCTTTTCCAGTTTTTTGCCCTCGTTCTGTCCTCCCTCAGTCTCTGTCTCTCTGGGGTCGTCATGAGGCTACCGCGCTTTCACTTAACATAAGAGCACGCGGTGATAGTGTTTATATTTACTACCGCACGCATCAGTGAATCCACACTCCGCATTTCAAAGGAGGCTGAACCAAGTCAAGAATCTAGGGGTGTACAGGATTTCATTGACGGTGTCGGCAATAGGCACACGGACCAAAAATGTTTTAAGTTCTTTTAACCACAAATCATTTTGCGGGAAAATCCAACAATGAAATTTTAAAAATTCGACTTTTTCTACATACATGATTGTAAAGTCAACGATTCTTAAATTACATACAGATAATTTGGGAAACGTAACGTAATAATTAATTAATTACATGAAATCAACTTTTTGAAGAAAACGTGAAAATTAATTTGATCAAAAACAAATTGTTTCATGGAAAAGAAACTTAAGTATTCCTCTATCTGTCCGTGAAAATAGATACTGAAGTACTTTTAACATTTATTTTTAAAGTTAATGAACATGTTTTATAATCTTTTTTAAAGTGCACATGCAATTATACTTAATAATGAGTAAATACAATTAGGAAAGAAGACACACACAAACACACCCTCTAACAAAACCAATAATATTATTGAACACTACTAGAAGGACACGTCTTGTTCCTGAAGCATAAACGTTTCACATCATCAGATAACTGTTATACATGTAGTTTATTTTGAATTCTCCGAATTCTAGTGATACATGTTCATACAAATGTTCTAAAGTCTTTTAATTTGTAATAAAACAACTTATTTTAGTTCTCATATTTCGTCAAATACTCAAGTACAATAATGTAAGAGAGTACGGAAAGTACCCCCTCCCCCCCCCCCAAAAAAAAAAAAAACGTTTAAAAATATTCTGAAAGGCGTGCTTTGTACTTGAAGCACATTCAAGGTTTTTTTTAATTACCATTACTTACGAATTTTGAATGAAAAAAAAATAAGGATATTAGTTAATATTTGACAACTACATTATTTGGGACATTAAGTTAAAAAAAATGCGATGACATTCGACCTTGAACATCAAGTTGAACTTATTAAAAATGAATATTATCAATCCTGCTAACTTTTGAAGAAATATGAGAGGCATTAATATTTTATATGTGCTTTATTTGTGATAAAATGTTTTCATCTGTACTTCAACTTTTTAACCTCATACCTATAAACCTAATTTTAAATTTTATTAACATTGTTGATAATTTTGAAATGATATAAAAGATAGGGCATTTACGGTGTTTTTGACATACGCTTGATACCTCTTTCAAGATCTCCCCGAATGTACTTTGGTGTTTTCACGTCGTGACTTTGAAGTCCGGTTGGTCCTCACAAATTTGGTTGTTAAGGGAAATTTAAGGGTAATGCAGTGTTTTAAAGGAACATAATTTGGTACTTAATGAAGTTGGAACACCCCCACCCCCGCCATAGGATTTTCGAGATTAGAGATCTTTTTTTTTCTTGTTAAGTAAATTAGTTTTTCATCGAGTTCCACCCCCTCCCCCTTTCGAAAATGATGTTTCGTTACAATACGCCATAAACAAAAAGAGACTAAAAACAGGGGACCACAATTCTCTAAATTTGCTTCATTCATTCAAGAATTTACTTGTGAAAAAGGATACTACTAATATGCAAACACCACCCTTAACTTCTTACTAAAATCTCTAAAATAAGAATCTTTTCATGGGATTGTAACTGCACCATAGTTCTGTCTTACACCAAGATTGTTAGAGTTACTACAGTAAAACCTGTCTCAGTGGGCATTACACCACTTGTTCCAGTGAAATTAACCAGATTAGACAACATTTCCAATAAGACAACATTATAAACAATTGAAATTACTGAAACTGAAAGTTAACATTGTGACAAGATTTCGGAATATACAACATCCAGATCAGACAAGTTTCACTGTAATTTAATGCTTGATCGTGATGAATGTGTAACTACTTGAAATTTATCAGTTCTTCTGTTCTATTTGTGCTTTTACAGAGCACTAATGTGATGCACTAAAAACCTATTTTTTAAATCCCTTTTAAGCCTTTATTTATTTCAAGTTTACTATCTGAATGGCAGAAGTAGGTTTATTATTAGGAAGATTATCATTGCTTATTGTTACTTTACAATCAACCAATCAAGAGAGAGAGAGAGAGGAGAGAGACCCCGACCACTTACTGTAAAACATGCTCATAACGAAGTGCAACTTTGCTTGAAGGCACATGGAGTGAATACCACTTTGCTGTACGCATCAATTCATTATAAGCATGTTCATTATAACCGGGTTTTACTGTATTGGGTTAGGGAGAAATAAACTACATATATGTCATTATGTTGCCTTTTCCTTCAATAAAACTTGTACTAAACAAACCTAGAAGACAGTTTACTTCTTTTTTCTAACTTTTATTATACTCCCTAGTTTGTCTTATAACACAGACAATTTACTCTTTCGTAAGTAAAACTTGGCTTGACAGAGTTAATTATCAACACCAGCAGATTACACAATGAACTGCTCAAATGTCAGGCAAAAAGTACATCACAAGTGCAGAAAAAAACAGTTAATGAGAATTCTAGCACATCCGTAAGTCTGGCATAAGAGCCATTTATTTATTACAAAAGAGAAAAAAAGATGATTTACTTTCATGATCAAAAATTAAACACACCAAAATGATAAAACAACAAGTACAAAGGTCATGTTATACAAAGTCAGAATTGAAAACAAATTAAAAAAAACTTTCTTGATTTTATAAAATATTCTCAACTTTTTCATTTTGTAACTCAACAGACAAAATACAATTCATGTTTCTTAGATCATAATAAAGACTCAATTCTTGTTTTAAAATCAAATTGGCTTTAATCCATCATAATTTTCTATATTGTTAACATACCTTAACTGGTAGTTAGCACATATAAGTCACTCATGTTCAAAGTGAAAAAAAGAGATTGTCAATTCAATGTAAGAAAAATAAAAAAGCATAAAGTATAAGCTAAGAAATCAGACAAATCTATAATATAAAGATGAACATCACTGCTTGGAAAAAATATTAGAGAAAGTACCAAATCACTTCAATCAGAAGATTAAAGTTTCTTTGGTCATATAAACTGAATAAATTTCAAATATATTTCAACTGATCAAAAGCACAAATAAATATCTGAAATCAACATGCTGTAAAAATTTACCTACAAAAATTTGTGAATAAAAGTCTTGACACAGTTTTCTAATCTGGAATAAATCTATCTGACATTTATTTGTGACATATAAATTATGCACACATTGATGCTGAAAAGTTTGCTTTTTTTTAAATGCTTGCTTGTAAGGTGTTTTTTAATCATAAATAATTATTATCTAGTGAACAATTCATCCATTCATCTCTTTTTCCAAAATAGACTTAATTACTCAAAATGATTATTTCACACTAAAGTATTACAAATAAACTAACAACACATTGATTATTGAAATAAATAATTCTTAAGTACATATAATTTAAAAAAATCACCAGACTTCAAATATAAGCACCAACTACAAAACAGTTAAAAATGCAAAATGATTTTTGAAACACATGTACCTGAGAACTGTCCACTTGTATTGACCGTTATCTAAATGGCATTTTGGAAGTATATTACATTGCTTGATTACATTCAAACATTATGCAAAATATGAGCTAAATTTTTCTCAAATAAAAATTATGTATAAATCATTTTGAATTTGTGACTTTGTCAAAATAGCCTCGAGGTCAGCTAAAAGATCATATACCTCTTATCATACCTAATGATTGAACTTTTATTGTTTCTTCAGTGAAAATAAAAGACCCCATGAACAAAAATCCTTTCTTCTCACTACATTACTGTGAGTTTTACTTTTTCTCTTGCAGATTTTGAGTTGAGATGACATATCCTCTAATCATTTGATCCTTGCCTATCCTAATTCTGTCATGTTTGAGTTTTTAGTGAAAATCTAATGCAGGTAACAATTCTACACAAATCTTAGAAATCTAGTCTCTTTGTCGATTCAACTTTTTGATCCAGGTCATTCCAGGTTATATGAAAAATTTGAAATTCCAAGTTGTTGATGTCAAAAGTGACTCCCTATGGAAAATAGTCAGAGCCCATATTTGATCTTGGCAGGAATAAAAAATAATCTAATCAACTTACACAGAATGTAAAAGTGCAATATTCCTAAATGCAAATATGACCATCAAAAACAATACAAATCCAACCAAATAGGACACATTTTATGACAAAGTAGACAAACTTGGATTATGAGTGACCAGAATGAACATGAGTAAGTAACTGATGCATCTTACAATTGATGCTAATTAAAGCTCAGAATTAAAAAACAAATTCATATGTTCTACTTAAGTGTGCACTAATCTTCTAATAGAAAAAGGCATTCATCTGATCAAGGGTAGAGGCACAAATTAACATTTATTTCACAAACTTTTAAACACTGAATTGACAAACAACAGCATTGTATATTTCTTTACACTTTTTGTTTTGTTTCACAACCTTTTGTCAGAGTATTTTTTTTAAACAAATTATTGTAGTGTTAAAAAAAACATGTACCTCCGTTTATTTCATGTACATGTAGAACTTTGGATTTCTATTACTTGTATTTATTTTTTTGTTAAACTGCACAGATTTGACACAAAAAAAATAAAGGTGAATAAAAATCACGTTATATTCCATTAAATTTATTGAAATTACAATGTTAGCATACAGTCAAGTAATATATATATTCCAGAATTTTTTCAAGACCAATAAAATAAAAAAAAAATCAACAGAACCATCAGTCATTTGACCTTAGGAATTTAGGTCACAAAATCCATAAAACTACAAAGTAATAACAGCATGAAAAACAACTAAACAAGAAACAAAACAGTAACATACATGTATATTAAAACTAAGACTCACTTTAAGTATATCTATATCCAAAAATAAATATAATCTTTTTTTTTTCTATTTGAAATTTTTACAAATCAAACAGAAGCTGTGTGAACATTATTAGACAATGCCATTTTTCTTAGCCTTGTTCTTATTCTGAAAGATATAAAAA